AAAAAGGGGGCGCCCCCCCCCCCCCCCCCCCAAAAAAAATTCCCTCTACTGTAGCAGTGGAAGAGGGACAAATTAAAGGCAAGCCTTCAGTAATTAGATTCTTTACCAGGAAAATTAGAACAAATTTATAAATTTTGCATATATAGAATCTAAGTATTGGGGAGTCAACTTATATTTTGGGTCATCTTAGATTCAAGTAAATATGGTATAGTAATCATTTTTATAATTATTGACATTACTGACATTTATAACTAATCTCATGAAAGTAAAAATACAATTAAAAGGTGCCTGACAGGAAATAAATTCTGCAACAAAAATTATCCTTGAAACAACATTTCATTGTTTTTCTCAAAAAGAACTATTTGGGAGCAAGATCTAACAACATTACAAAACTTATCCCCCTAGCCCCCCTTCCCCACTGCACAAAATCTACATAGTGCATTGCATGAAAATAAATGAATTGAAATGGATTTTTTTATGGAAAACTGTTTAGAGAAAATCCTTTTAACCAATTCTAGTGAAGCAATTACCCCCAAAACAGAAAAAGAAAGTTTAAGGTACTTACATAGTTCCTTACTACCATAATATGAACTCCTTATAATCTTAGATGGAATTATTCTGACATTACCCTTCTGAGGTAGAGAATACTAGTATCTCTGTTTTGCAAATGAAGAACTGAAGCATAGGAGACCATTTTTTATAAGGGTTCAGGTAATTAAAGCTGCAGTTATTTCATGAGAATTACTTATTACTTGCATGTTGGTTTCTCCCAGCACTGCCCTCCTCCATTCTCTCCGCTCTCTTCCTCCCTTTCTAACTTTGTATTAAAATCACCATCTCCATGCCACACTGGTCCATGCATGTCATTTCATCACATCTGATAAAGTAAGCTCCAGTTCAGAAAAGCTTGTGCTATACATAATTTAGTTGGTCAGGTGCAAATCTACCCTATCTTCTTAACTTCCAAGTAACATAGTTAACTCTTATTGCTTGAGATATTCTGAAATGCTTGGGACTTCGGTGTTGGAGGCATCTTTGAAAATCCTATTAAAATTCTGACCCTATGCCACTTTTAAAATTTGACCTCAGTAGTCACACTGAAAATCTTGCTCTAAGTGACTTTCCCATGTCAAAAGTAGAAGGTATTGAACATGAACTGTGAAGCGCTATACCAGCACTCTAGCACCTGAATTTGAATTCATCTCCAGGACAGAGAAGGGATAGAACTCCAGTCCTTCCAATTCTGGTCCCACAATCCATTTCTCCAGGCCTCACTGCTTCAGCATGACAGTAATTAATTAGGCATTTACTTGCATTGATTTTAGATAAAATAATACTAACACTCAATAATAATAGTAAAACTGCTTACTGGTGCAAGTCTTGTTGTATTTATAGTTCTGTTGAGGAGACCCCTCCAGCTGACACTGGAACCTGTGCTGCCAGAATTCCTGAAACCATGGGTTTCGGTGATTGGTTTCTGGCCGAAGCTGCAGGTAATAATCATCAAACCATTTCACATCAGGAGACTGAAGCTTGATCGTTATTCCCCCAACAGCTTCACGCTGGTATCCGTCTGTCACATCGTACCTGTCTGCCCAGCCATCACTGTGGAGAGAAATAAAACAGAAAATAGTCTGAGAAGATTCTGCTGCTTGCACCATTCAAAAGAACAAGGGAACGAGGGAAATGCTTCCTTGCAAATAGAAACACACTCACATCAGAAGGCTGGAGAGGAAAAATTGTTGAAATACTAGTACTGTTTATATTAGAAGTATCCAGCAATTTCTATTTTATGTACTGTGTTCTTCTTTCCTTAATCCAAGGAATCAGTATTACAAACTACAGTCATGATACTGAAACTGTGTGCACATGCATCTCTGCACTGCCCCGATCCATATAGGTTGCAGTAGGGTGATGCAGGCTGCCTCGGCATCTGCTGACATCAAAAGGAGATTGCTCACCATTAAAATAGGATGTGTAAGCATGTTGAAGAGAAGAGAAATTCCCAGCCAGGGACAATTTGGACCAAATTTCATGCAATTATTAATGTGGTTGTGAGCTAGATATGTACTTGGCTTCTAAAAAAATCAAAATTATGAAAAAAAAAGTGGGATGGCAGAGATGCACACAATCACCTGAAAGGAAGTCCTTATCAATTCTAGTCTACTTAGGTTTTTCACCAGCCCTGTGGCTTTGAACATCCACAGAGTTTGCTAGAAAAACAAAAATTAACAAAATGTCCATAAAAATGTCAGTGAGATTTTCTTTCCCACACATTTTTTTTTTAGTGAACATCACAATTCTGACAAAAATTTCCATAAAAAAAGAAAAGTTTCATTCAGGAAGTTTCATTCAGGTCTTCTGTTGAGTTATATACATCAAATTAAAGGATTGCCTACACTTTAGCTTACAGGTAGAAGCAACTGTATCAGCAAATATTTTATCAGTCTAGATGTGCAGGCAGTGTGGGAGCAAAATTTGCTATTGGGATTTCACGTTAACAAAAACATGTTAGGAACAAAAGCAGTGCACAGCATGTGAAGATAGCATGTGCTGGAACAAGAGGAGGGTTGGTCTTCTAGCAAGATGCTTTGGCTTTCGACTGCTCCATTCGTGCCCCTGTTGCTCCAGCATGCTTAGAGACAGGAGGAGCTCAGCAAGGGCAGTGTGCCCAAAGCAGGACAGTGTGTCCTACAACAAAGCACACATGCACAGGTGTGCACCGAGGCACAAAGTATCGGCAGAAATTTGTGCCGCTGCAAGCACACACCCCTCCATGTCTGGAAACAGCCATGGTAGACACATCTGGAAAGATGCAACATTCAAGCTGCAAATATCACATTCTAGTCTCAAAATGATATGTATTAAAACTGATTTTGGTCTATAATGTTCCATGTATGATACATTGTTTATTTATATTGATCCATTGTCATAGATTTGGGTTTTCAGAGGATGTGCCAGAATGAAGGACAGCTCAACTTCAATCTCTCTCAGAACCAAATGCAATGGAGGAATTTCTCTACAGGTGGAAAGGTTTGTCTAGTTTACTTTCACTAGAATGTAGTATAAAACTGCTATACAGCAACACTCTACTAATGTTAGTACAAAGACCTGCATGTTTATGGCACTTACACATGAATCGGCATAATAACAACAAAAAATCTGGCAAAAATTTGACACATGATGTTTTAGATGCCTAACGCAGTTTACCTTTTGAATTGTAAGTGTGGGTATTCACACACTTTTGATTGATCATAGTCATCTTTCCTAGATCCTTTAGGCATAGTCTGAAGACCCCTATGACAACAAACGGAGGCTGATAGAGCTCAGAGGACTTTTGGTGTTCTAAACCTAATCTCTGCTCCTTTATCCTTTCTCATTTTCTGGACCAGAGGCACAGGATGGTGATGCAAGAACCATCTCACTAGTTTCACAAAGGCAAGAGTTTACTGACCTATGAAACTCTGAGACCTATGGGGAATTATTTATTGGACACTTGGGGACAGAATATAGCCAGTACTTACAGCCTAAACGGCAGAAAACAACCACTATAAATTAGAGAAAGCAGCCTAGCAATTTTAAAATCACTGCGTAGTACAAATTAAATATCACCATACTTTTTGAGTCACCACATCTCCAAGGAGATAAAGGAAGGGAGACGGAAAAGATGAACCTTATTTTTGGGAAAGCATAATTAAAGTATAATGAAGAAAAAAATTTTTTTTTCCAGTTATGGCCACGTCCAGCAGGAACAGAGCCTAATCTCCAGTTTACTCACCCTCCCTTTCCAGGTGAGGCAAAAGCTATGGTTTAAACCCTTTCACAGATACATTCTCCGCTTTTGGCTCAACAGAAAGCTGAAACTGAAACTGCTCCTGAAGGCTGGGCTCCATAGGCAAATCTAGGGTTTTGAAAAAAAAAAGAAGCCAAAAACAGTCTGCTGTGAAATAAGAGAAGAGAAATGGGAGAGACCAGGAATATCTAAGAGAAAACAAATTGCTGAAGAAATAGCTTGATTATTTGAACATCAAGACCATAAAAAAGGAGAGAAGGTTGTTAACACCTGCCGAGCAAAAAACAAATTAACAGGAATCAAGTAGATAATAAGAAGCCATGGAGTCAGTTGACAGCCCCCTGGTGCTGCCCAAATAGAAGTAGCACGCAGAGAAGGCTAATTTTGGGAGAAATGCTGTGTATACTATGCTACTAAATAAGGTATATGATTATAACACAAAAATGGACATACATTCTTTTAAACACTCTCATTGCATTTTATTTTAGAAATTGAAAAATGTGTTATTCAATGGGCAGTTGAATTGATTGTCCTTTGTCCAGTTTCCCTCCCACCTCAAACCTTTTTCCAGTATTATTAAGGTTAATGAATGTATTCATAATGATACAGCCAAGCCTTTCTTTTTATTCAGAAATCTGTTTTTAACCCACATAATAATGATAGAACTGACATTCTACCCCCATCTAGTCCTTTCCATGCCAAATAGCTGATCAATAGCAAATGAGACAAATGTCCCCCACACCAAGTAGAGTGGAAGTTTGTTGAGTGATTAGCTGTCTTTATTTCCATTTAGTCTATCTATGATACCATTTCCTTCTCCTGCTGTTTAAAAGCTCTAAAAATATTAACAGGTCCTTGTGCTTTTATGCCAAAGATCTGATATTTCCTCCCTTCCCTCGGTGGAAGTATGTGGATAAATTATATGTACATCTCTTTTTGGCAAGCTCCTGTTAACTCTTGGCTGCATGTGGAATAAAAAGGGAGAGATGGCTCACTAGCAGGCTTTTCTTAGACTGTAATGCAGTTTTAATCTTCCTTTCATTCATATTGAACACATATGCACAACTTTCCTTGCCACTAAAAGAAATGAGTTTTAGTGGAAAGGAAAGTTGTGCATAATTTTAAGCAGTGCAACATACAGCGCTTCCTCTCAGATGATATTTAGTAGGAGTGCCTGCACAATTAGCTTGCATATAGGATCACTGATTCTATTTACTTCTGAAATATCCAATCACTGTCCAGCTGACAAGGGGTTGTGATAGCAAATAAAAGTCAGAAGCTGATAGCAACATCTAATTTGCATAAAAGCAAACAGGTTTGCACCTGCCTGCATTTATAAACTATCTTATCTAGCTGTTCAGGCTAAAATGGATATTGGTACTGGATGCTGGTACCTTTTGACTTTTTGGCTACGTCCACATGTGCATGGATGTTGATTTCCCTGGGAACAACTAGCACTGGGACACCGTATGCCACTGCTACTTGTCTCCCAGGAACATCTGTGCCAGACACCCTCTGGCACATGGCAAGTTACTCCAGGTGGGGTAGGGGGCGCTCCAGCAGCCTTATCTGGGGTCCTGGGGGCCTCTTGGAGCTGCAGCAGCAGCAATCCTGCCACTCAGAGCCTAGCTGGGAGTTGGAGTGTGGTTCCAGTGTGCACTGTCCTTGTGTATACCACCCCACTTCTTTTTGCATGGGTTTTTTTGACCCTGAGATTTCCTGGGGCCAAACCGAACATATCCTGGGGTCAATGTGCATTATGTGGTACTACAGATGTGTCTGTGACACCACATACCATGCAGATGGTCTCGTCTGGAAGTGGATTTTGTGGGCTATTTTTCTGTAATAAAGGTGAAGTGTAGCTGAGCATTGCATTGTAAAACATCAACGGCATTTAGACTATGCGCCATACTCCGTCCATTTCCAAATCACTCAGTTGTGAATAGCAAACAAACAATTGGCATACAACCAACAAACTTGATTGAACAAAAATAAGAGACCATGGAACAATGATTGGGGGAAAAAAATCCATCTTGGTCTAGACAGCTTTCTAAGAGCCTACTCTCAATTCAGTTTATAACCCTAACAAAAGATGATGATATAGAAACAGCATTACCATGATATCTGAGGTTATAAAGAACCTAAATTCATACAGGGAATATGTGGCAGGGCACCTTTGGTGCCTGCCATTTTAAGGGCAGAAAATAGGCAGCAGCCAGGTGCCTGATGAGGGCAGTCATTTTGGACCCAAGGATATAAGCTGGGCTGCAGGCTGCTGCAGGAGGAAGGAGGTAACATCAGGCTGAGAAGCTGCTCCAGCCAGAGTCAGGAGGTAAGGGCAGGGGCTATGGGATCAAGGTGACCCCTTGCCCTGGGTAAGATGTAAAACTGCACCCTGCCAGGGAAGGGTGGTCTGGTGGGGCTCCTGGTAGTGTGGGAGCCCCCAGGAAATGCAAGGCCAGTTATCTCCCCAGTGAAAGGCAGGTCGGGGCCCCGTATAACACCTGCCCCACATCCCTGGTGGTATCATTAAAGAGCCCTGAGGCAGAGCTCAGGCCGGAGGAGGGACCTGGGGCTATGCCCAGGAGGTAGGGTTAGGTCTGGGGTCACAAGCGAGACCCTGAGAGAGAGGGGCGATGAGTATTGAGACCCTGAGAGATGGGCAACAAACAGAGCCGCCCTGTGAGTGTGGGAGAGTGAGGAGCCCCAGAGGAGGCACAGTGGCCTGGCAAGGGGCCAGGAGTGAAACAGGCCTAAAGTTGTACAATCGCTCAGTCAATGTTCAGGTGAGGGTAGTGGGAGGCACCCAATA